CAGACTCCCTGCCGAGCAGGGAGCCCGATGCGGGACTCGATCCAGGGACTCCAGGATCATGACCTGAGCCGAAGGCAGTCGCTTAACCAACTGAGCCACTCAGGCGCCCACAAAGATGATTCTTATTACCTTTATTTGTAATTTCTTGAGGGCTATCCAATGATATGCTGGGCCCTGTGCTAAGCACTTTTATATACATTGTATCTTTTCATCTGAGTTAAGTGCTATAATCATCCTTATTTTACAAATGATGAAGCTGAAGCATAGCCAGGTTAACTGATTCACCCAAGGTCACCCAGATAGGAAACTGAGAATGCTTGCAAGATGCCCAAGGTCACAGAGCTAGTCATTAATGGAACTGTGACCAATCAGGGAAGATGGGCCCCAGAGACCATTCTCTAACTGCTCTACCATTCTGCCCCATTAGTTTATGAATTATTAAAGAAGTCCAAGGCTAGTTTGAAGTTAAGGTTCAACTGGTCAATTATTCATTGATTCATTCATGAAATGGCATGTGAAACTTACTTACAAATGTTACAAAAACAGTCAGAATAATCTTGCTTGATAAGGTAAAAAAGGTAAACTATTCCCTACCTCTTGCCGGGTCTTGTTTTATCATGCTTCCTTAGAACGTGCATATCACAGATGAACTAACTTGTCCCTTGATATTCTAACCTTCTTATAATTTTACAGCAATCTTGCACAGAGCTAGACAATTACATGAAGAATAAACTGAATCCTTACATAATCAACGTCACCCTAGCAGCCAAAATGTGTAATCAAGTGCTTTGCCAGGAGCAGGGAGTATGTATAAGGAAACACTGGAATTCAAGTGACTATCTTCACCTGAACCCAGAGAATTTTGCTATTCAACTTGAGAAAAGTGGAAGATACACAGTACAAGGGAAACCCACACTTGAAGACCTGCACCAATTTTCCAACAAATTTTATTGCGCTTGTTATGCCAATGTCCGTTGTCAGGAGAGAGCTGATATGACTGAAATTCATACTGTTAAAGTATGTGTTGCTGGAGATGTTTGTATAGATGCCTTTCTAAACTCAGAACCCATTGGTCATCTTTCTAGCTGGAAGGGGAAATCTGCCACTTCCAGCAATATCTTATCTGCCATGTCACCTGCCACAGGGTCTCCATGTGATCCTGGTAAAGACCTTAGTAGGTGCCTCAAAGCCAGATTTATAGTAGAAGCCAACTCCAAAACCCCTCAAGTGGGCTATTAGAGTGTATATATTCGAAATAAGAAACAATAAAACAACCTATTCAAGTACAAGCTCAGTGTTTATTAAATTTTCTGTCTACATACATTGTTTTAATATCTTTTACATCTCTATATGTAATAGTTTAGCTAGCTTAGATTTTTTTAGGCAAGTGATGATACCTATATACTTAAAGACTTATATTTGAAATGTGAATCAAAACTCATGACCAAGATAGTATTTTGATTTTTTGAGCAAAGATTGCTTTTTCATGATCAAATTGAACCTGAGATTATTATTAATTAATAAACAAAGTATGTTGGCTAGCACCTTTAATTTTCAAAATTGTAGTCAGGGCAGTGTTACTACTAAATCCATTGATACTACATTTTGCTTTTGAAAATCAGAGTAGAATGTTAATTATTAATATTGCATAGAATTTGCTTTGTAAGATGATATCCAACTTTGTATTTTCTAATTGCCATGAGTCTATAGCAAATAATCTCACATACCATGATGTATATACAGAACTAACAGGTATCTGTTATATTCTTGGTTCAATCTTGGTACAATCTAGACTGATTGTAAGGTCTATAACACTTAGAGGCCTAGTGTTCTTTCTGAGAAAAGTAAAGATTTAAATAACGCCAATTTACTTCAAATAAATGTCTTTCTGAGTAGTTTGTAATTTGCAATAAAAATGTCAAGAAATTATTATGGTAATAAACCTTATCTTTTAAAATGTAATATCCCAAGTGTACCTGTCTGCCTTGAGCATAGAACTATGGATTTTAGCTATTTCATCTTGATCATTTCTTCAAGTTATGTTTTATAAAAAGGTAACCTTTAAAAAGTGATTATCCTGTCAACTCTGTACATGGTTTAATAGATATTCAGAATAAATATAAAAAATAGCCCAGGGCGCCTGGGTGGCTCAGTTGGTTAAGCGACTGCCTTCGGCTCAGGTCATGATCCT